TAATTGCAGAACTGCTGGCCTTCTCCCCCAGACAAGGAAGAAAAACAAGGACAGGGGTGTGTGGAGAAAACAGTGACATTCAGTTTTAATTCATTTGAACCTGATGCCAAGCTTAATTATGTAACTGAGAGAGTGAGACGGGTGGGCTTACAGCCACTTGGGCCAGAGTTTCTGATGGTTAGCATTTGCCAGTGTTTTGTTGAGGATTTTTAGCAGTTACCGTGGAGCATTATTAGCTGAAGCTGAACTAATCTCCCCTTACCCTTCTCCTCACCAGATGTAGGTACAGAGGTTGCTGTTCCCAGACTTGATTATTTGTCATTAAGGAAAACAAATTGAAAGCAAATTGAAGTGGCTTTATTCCTTGCTAAATGAATCATTATTCTTTAGGGGCAGTCTCGTATTTCATTTTATTTTTTTCTGATTGTGATGTAGTATCTGCTGTTATGTAAAACTCAGTAATGCAGTGTTTATTTCTAGAATGAGAGTATTTTTCAGGGTTACTTGAGACATTTTTTACATAAACTTTCATTGGAACTAGTGAAAGTGAGTCTATATGAAAAACACATAATTCAGTGAAATATTTCTGATTTGGTGGCTTATTGCCTACTTATAATTTTATTTATGCAGTCTCTACCCCCCTTGGCTTGGTGCCATCAGTACAGACATTTTGTACAAAAGGGCCAACCTGTCTCTCCTTGCTGGCAGGATGACTCTTTATAAGTACATTTTTCTCAAAGTTTAGCCAGCGCATTCTTGATTCAGAGAAAGCTCGGGGTGTATCACAACCTCACAGAAATGTCTTCTGTTTGGATTGGAGTTTAGTCCTGAAGGTCAGCATCTTGATTTCATAATATCCTATGTACCATGTAGGGGTGAAAAAGAAGGGAAGAAGCCACGCTAGAGGAAAGGGTGGGAGTCATAAAATAAGGGGCTGCCTGCTGGGCAGCAGCATGGGTGATACAGAGCCATGACCACTTAGCATTATGTGTTCTTCATAGTCCAACAATATTAATAGACTTTTTTTTTTTTGAGACGGAGTTTCGCTCTTGTTACCCAGGCTGGAGTGCAGTGGCGCGATCTCGGCTCACCGCAACCTCCGCCTCCTAGGTTCAGGCAATTCTCCTGCCTCAGCCTCCTGAGTAGCTGGGATTACAGGCATGCGCCACCATGCCCAGCTAATTTTTTATAGTTTTAGTGGAGACGGGGTTTCACCATGTTGAGCAGGATGGTCTCAATCTCTTGACCTCGTGATCCACCCGCCTCGGCCTCCCAAAGTGCTGGGATTACAGGCGTGAGCCACCGCGCCTGGCCTAATAGACATTTTTATCAGTTAACCCCCATCACTTGTCCCATGAAGTAAATTAACATCTTTTAAACATGCTTTCCATTTATTTTCACAAATATTTATTAAGCATGGGCTACATATTAAGTATGGTCCTAGTACCTGGGAAATACAAAAAAACAACACCTGATAATAGAGATTGCTCTTTGTTCTTCCAGTTACAGTGGGTGAAGGGGAGGATCCTTGTCTAGGGAAGGCCAACACTTTCATCAAGTTTCTAGATGCCCCCACCCTTCTACCTTCTCAGGAATGTCATTCTATAAACTACCCACTTGTCCTCCTGTAGCTTTAATCTATTTTCTGCGTGGGCTTTCCCCTCAATATTCAACATTCAAAAATGCCAAGAACACTATCTGTCCTATAGAAAGTGGTCAATAAATATTTGTTGAATAATGTACATGAATACTCAGCAGTTTGTTAACCTGACTTCACACTGGAATCGGGTAGGAAATTGACAACGCGCGCGCGCACACACACACACACACACACACACACACACACGACCATAGTATCTCCTTCTTAAAGCAAACCAACAAAAACAACTCAGTTGACCTTATATCCCTTGCTAGCTAAATCTGTCCCTTAATTCTTCTTCCCAGCCAAGATAACTGCAAAGAGGCCTGTAAATCCTCCTCTGCATCTCTCTCTTATGCTTCAACTACTCCAGCAGGCTTCAATCCCCACCACCTGCCTAAAGCAGATCATGATAATGACATCATGTTTCTAAACACACTGAGCACCTTCAAGCTGTCTTCTTGCTCAAGCTCTCAGTACTATTATCTCTCCCTCCTTCTAAGTAAGAATACTTTCTTACCTTGAATTTGAGACGTCTGATTCCCTTTTCATTTCCTTCTTCCTCTCTGATTCTCCAGCTTCCTTTGCAGTCTTTTCTTTTTATATGATGCCTAAATGTTGAAGTTGCGAGAGTTCTAATACTGCACGTTTTTTTAAATATACTTCCTCTAGGCATTTTTCACGATTTCCCATAAATAACATCTCTAAATAACATCTTTGTACTGTTGTCCTCCGGTATGTCCAAGTTCATCTCCATTTGTGAGCACCCACCTAATATATCCAACTGCAATTTGACGTTTCTGTTTAGCTGTATCCACCATTTCTGACTCAACGTGTCTCAGACCAATATTTTAATTTTCCTTCTCTCCTGCTGGTTCTTCCCTGAGTCTCCCCGTTTCAATAAATCACATACTTACCCAGTGGCTTATGGCAAAAACAAAGCAAAACAAAACAAAACGAATGAACAAAAAGGGTAATAAACCTTATCTATGCCTTCCTTTTCCCCAGTTCAGTCAATCGATTTACAGAGCCCTTTTAATTCTGCCTCCAAAATATAACTCAATCCATCCACTTCATCCTGTTTCATTGCCAGCTTCCATTCTTCTGGAATGTTGCAATAGCCCCTAAGTTATCTCCTGATTCCAGTCTAGCTCCCCAACAACATTGCAGTCTCTGGCTAGAGTGATCAATTTTTAAATGCAGATCATGTAACATCATTGCTTCTTTAAAACTTTCAATAATGGACAATCGGTAATTACAATCTATGTTATGTGCTGTCATTTAATTTCAAGGAAGATGTGCAATTTTCTAAGTATGTATTTATTTGTATGGTTATTTGTTCTTCTCCCTCTCCCATCTCAATTATTAGTTGCATGAGTGGGAACTGAGGTTTGTTTCTACTACTGCATACCCCATGCTCAGCGCACTGCCTGAAATAGAATTTTATTATTGAATAAATAAATGAGCCTGTGAAAGGTACAAGGTTGTTCCCATCTCAATCTCATCTTAACTCATCAACCACTCCATTGACAAATGAACTGATTAAATGAGCTCAATTAAACCCTTTTATTTGGAATTGTTTTATTCCTTGCCATTTAAGGAATTTTCAAGACTGAGCCCTTCCTCTGGTGGGCTTCAGAGGCTAGAAGAAATAGTTAATAGTGTGGGAATATAAAGCAGTTCATGGTATGGTGTACTTAAAAGGACACATGCAGACTTGACTTCAAATCCTGGATCTGATGATTGAGTGGCTTGTGATTCTGGTCCAGTTGGATCAGCTTACCTGAGCTTCAGTTTCTTCTTCATGTGTATAGTGGGCATGAAGCCAGTAGTAGTACCTGATGTTATTATGACCTCACCAAGTACCAGTGTGTTAAGTACCCAGCACAGCAACTGGCACGTGACAGTTGATAGTTTTGCTTTCTTCTCCCCTGGACCCTATTTCTTGACTATTACTTTCTACCTTTTTTTTCTGTCTTTCTCATCTTGATGGGTGGTAATACTTATATTACCCACTTAGTTTGATTTTGTAGGAAGAGAAGAATTAGCAGTACTTACAGAACAGGCTTCCTTTTGGATTAGAAATACAAACTTCACAGCTTCTCTGCCCAGCTTTTCAAGAGCATTTTACGGTACACTGCTGTGTAACAAGTTCATTTTAGGATAACATGCTGGGAGGGAGAAAAAGAAGATGAGATTCAAGGGGAAAAAATTAAAAAGTTAATTAAAAGAAACAACTTGGTAATTGAATTCCCTTGCACTCTTCTTTGGTTATTTTGGGGTGGCAGGAGGTGTCACAGTACACGGTTAGTAGGTTTGCTTCAGTGTCTCACCTCAAAACTTCTAAATGAGACAAGTAGAATACCGATGACTCCTAACGTGACAGCTGAGTATAGGGTACATTTGGTGAGCTTTTTAAGCATGCCAAACAAAGCTGCCCTGATACTCACTCTTGAGCATTTATATTTCAAAACATTCTTGGCAGTTGGCATTGCTGTTAGGCTAAGCCTTGGACTATTAGCCAGCGTAAGGGCATGCAAAATGGCCTTTTCATTGACTATTTTACTGTTTATTTGCTCTCACCACATGTGCATATCCACACAAGCACACAATCAGAATAGCATTGGGAACTTGTATGCCCGTTTCAGACTGTACACTAGAAGCAAATAAGCAACATAGGTGTGTATTTCTTATTTTTAAAAGAAGCGTGAATATTTATGCATTTAGTCATTCTTTTTCACAGATCCCTTAAGAGTCAAAGTCATTTAAGATGTTATCATTGAGAGAGACAAGATAATGGAGGAGCATGGGCATAGTAATCAACTGGAGCTAGGTTTAAACCCTAACTCTCATTCACAGCTCATACTTATTCGTGAAGTCAACATATATTTATTGAATACCTACAGTGTGCTAAGCACTATTGCAGTTGCTGATGATAACCTTTTGCATGTTCTTATCATGGTTTTTGTTAGCATCAATATTTGAGGTTTTGAAAATTAACTCTCGGGAGAGAATTTTCTATATTTTCCATTATTTTATGCATCTCATTTTGCCATTGAAGAAAGAACAGAGTTAAACAGTCTATTATCTTACTCACCAAATTAGTTTAAATCAGGTTACGGATTGTATACTCAATCTCCAAAGCAATGCCTAGAAAGTAAGAGCTACTATTTTATATCTAGAGATATTACGGTATCTCTCCCAAAGCATTAAGGACTACCAGTCTAAGAGCCTAATGATCTACCAGGCGTATGTGTCCGAAGAATTAAATGCAACTCTCTCTGTAAACTTGCACTTCAGCAGTGAGGATAGACGTTCAGCTTTTTGTGAATACTAACTAGGGGTTTTTATGTTTTCACAGGTTATGGTTTTGTAGATTTTGACAGTCCTGCGGCCGCACAGAAAGCGGTAGCATCTCTCAAGGCAAATGGCGTGCAGGCACAGATGGCTAAGGTAAGATTGATGTTTAGGGGTGTGTGTGTGTGTGTGTGTGTGTGTGTGTGTGTGTGTGTGTTTGAGAGAGAGAGAGAGAGAGAGAGAGGAGGATGGAAGAAGGAGAGATTAAATATTTCTCCTTTGCTCTGAGCTCACTCAGAGATAGAGGTTGCAACAATTTGTTTTATATTTTCTTGTTGGGGAAAATAAGAAACGCCACATTCAGCTTGGCTTAGGAGAATCTGGCTGACATATTTCATTGTTTCTTTAAGTATATTTATTACTGTATCTTTTATTATGGTAATCTCATTCCCAATTTAAGGACACTTGTGAACTGCTCTGTTCTGCTTGAGAAAGGTGGGGCATGCCTGTGTGTGTGTCTATCTAGGATTTATACTGGTAAACAGTTTTGGAATAACAGAATTATCAGCAAATTGTCTTTGACAAACTGCATGCTAAAAAATGTGTGTGTTCTCTTAGCTGGGCAGAGCTGATTGTTGAATGATGGGTTGTTTGATCTATGAAGGGGAATGAGTTTAACTGAAGTGTACCTTCTCTGTATTGCCAGAATTTCACTTTGGTCTTTATACGTAGAGTTTTCTAAGATAATAATATTAGGTATTAATAATTTTCAATAATTTTTGTATTGTTAAATAGAATAAGTATTTATTCTATTTAACAATAGAATAAGAACCTTCTACCTGAAATTGTAATATACTTTGATATCTGAGAAAATAAGTTAAATTATTTACAATACTTTTGTATCCTGATTGCAGTGGTGGTTACAAGAATCTATACCTGATAAAGTAATATAGAACTATATACACATATTACACCAATGTCAGTTTCCTGGTTTTGATATCATATAATTATATAAAATGTAACATTTGTAGAAACTTGATGAAGGGTATATAAGATCTCTCCATACTATCTTTGCAACGTCCTGTATATCTATAATTTTTTCTAGATAAAAAGACAAAACAATTGTTTATAACATTGATGCTTGTTAGCTGTCTGCTTTAAAATGATGATCATTTTGAATTTGTTCACCTGCAATCTAAATCTTTAAATATTCTTTCTGATTGATACTAGTGAACTTATTTATCTCCAGATTCTGTAAATTTTAGGTGGAATGACCAACAGACATTGAACCTGTTCTAATGTATTCATGCTCTATTCATATATGCACTTAAGCTTAACTATTCCCATAAGAGTTGAGTGATATAATGATAAGGTTGTCTAATTTTCAGTTATTTCGATTTTGTTGAGATTACTAACATTATTTGATAACATTTTCCAATCTTGACCTCAAATAACTAGATGTAAGCTATTTCGTTTCTTCATCTTCACTTGTCTGCTAGTAAAATGATGGAGACTGTATCTGTTAACCTTTTGTTGCTAGCCACTTCCCATATAGATTACTTTGGTGAACTCATTGTCCTTTATGACACATGAATAGTTGTTCAAGGCAATATAAATTTGAATTCTTTCAGCTGTGTAATATATTCTTCATCAAGATTATGCCTGGAAACCTTAGATATTTTCATGAACTAAGATTGATGAAGTTAGTCTTTTTAATTAATAAGGAAAATATATTCATGTCTTGGTTTAAAGGTTACTTGGGAAGGAGTCAATGGCAACTTAAATAGTGACTTCCTATACCCAGAAAACAAATGATGAAATGTAGCTGTTAGGTATATGTAAAATATATAACTAGAATTTGGACTGAAAGCAACACCTACTTGCAAGAAAATAAATATAAGGATGCTTAAGGAAAAAGTTGTTATTGGAATACCTTTGATTTATTCCATTGGTAAATTCCCAAATCTGGAAGTTACCAGATTATAGCACTTTAGAAGTAATGAAAGCAGCATGCATAATCTCTACCATTTCAAATGTCCTCAGAATATGTATAGTTGGTTTTTAGATAAAAACCACTGCCATCTTGTACAACAAGAAAAGAAAGTTGACATTGATTTTGTAACTACTGAGGAACCAGTATGAATATTTTCCCTCAGTTTCCCAGCATTCTAATGCACAGGGAATCTCTCTCTTTCTCTCTCTCTTACTCGCCCACCCACACCCTCTCTCTTTCATTCTCTCTCTAATTATTGGCATCTTCCCTAGTCAGAAAGCATTTGATTTGGGGAAATTTTTTTTATATTTGTTATACTTTAAGTTCCGGGGTACCTGTGCAGATCGTGCAGGTTTGTTACATAGGTATACATGTGCCGTGTTAGTGGTTTGCTGCATCCATTGCCCCGTCATCTACATTAGGTATTTCTCCTAGTGCTATCGCTCCCCAATCCCCCCACCCCCTGCTATTCCTCCTGATTTGGGGAAATGTTTTAAAGAACTCCTAAAATGATGATTTTTCCTAGCCAGCATTTTGGCTGTTGGCTCATGCCCACTGTATAAAGAGCTTCCAATTGGAATGTTTAAAGTGACTTCTATTTTTGTAGTTTATTCAAAGATTTTATCTTATCAATTCTGCTGCCTGTGAAGTTAATTCTTATTCTGTTAGCTTTAGAGTCATATTTGCCTACTGGAAAACTTTCAGCAATGAATGGCTCTGTAATTTAACTATCCATAAGAAACTAAATAGGCTCCCTTTGACAATGAAATGGGATAAGCTCGACCACCTGTATTAGCAGATTTCTCACTGGGCTATTGGATTTCATGACATTTTCCCCCTTTGTCCTGGTGATAACTATTATTTATTATCATATAAACCTGCAGTCTGCAGGGTACTGGAAACTTGCACTATATTTTTTGCCATTTAAGTATCTAGTGAATCACCTCCTGCATCCTTGTTCTTATCAATATCCTACTATGCAGGTTGTGGTGTCACATTTTAATGACTCCAGGATTTTAAAATAAAAATATTATTAATAATCTAGTTTTCCAATAGTAACCTTCAGCTAACATAAAACTCTCCATGTGAATTGCTTTATTTAGCTAGCTTATTCCAATGTGTGCATATGGAAAATCCAACTGATCTGTCAACCAGTAGCAAATCATCCAGGAAGTGGTAATTGATTAATAATGAATAACCACTAACGTGGATGAACATTTTTCTGTATACTTACTGTTCTGCCACAAAGGGTTTTTTTTTTTGGTATCAAAAGACATGTTTCTTTTAGAAAATCAGATTCAGAATATTTTAGTAACACATAGTGGTTATGGACATAGATTTGGAGGGAAGTAAGATTGGCCTTGAATCCTCGCTCTGGTACCACCTAGATATGTGACCTTGGCTAAGTTATTTAAATATCTCTGAATTTCTCTAATAATAACTCTTAGGTTATAGAATTGCTGTGAGAATTTCAGAAGATACATTAAGTATTTAGTAAGACCCTAGATTATAGTAAGTAAATGTTATTCAATATTGCTATACATTAAATCCAGATTTGCTACTAAACCTTCTATAAATCCTAATACATGTTGGAAGTGTGTGTTATTCCAAATTAGTTTCTTTAAAATAGATAATAAATAGCATCAATCAGCAAACATTTTTATTGCCTACTCTGTCTAGGTAGTGTTCTGAATATTAGAGAATGAATAAAAAATTTTTTTTCTGAACGTTTAACATTTTGCCTCCTGAATTGCTATAGCTCTAGACTAAGAATTTTGACTGTTACTGTTCTTGCCAACTTCAGGATATAGAGAAAACACTTATTGGCCAAGGAATATGTATCTCTGTAAGCATGAAAAAAAAAGTGAAGAAACCCCTTCTAACAATAAGTTAACTTATAGATGTTTATTTTACTCATGTAGGAAGAAGGCCATAGATAGACAGCGGAGGGCAGCTCTTTGGGGTGCCATCAAGGATCAAGGCAGCTCTGCCATCCTTCTCTGGCTTTTATGTCATACATTTATAAGATGCCTTCTAAAGTTCTAGCTCTTGTATCCACAGTTAACCCAGGAAAAAGAGAAAAGAGAAAAAAGCAAATAGATAAAGGAGCAGTATGGCTGATTTTGTCCTTTTAAAGGCTTTTCAAGAATCTCAACTTAGCAACTTGTGCTTACAACTCAAAAGCCAAAACTGAGTCACATGATTTTCCTTTTTCTTGTAAGAGAATATGAGTTGATGAGTATTTTAACTTCTTTGCCTCTGCAGTAGAGAAAATTAAGAACAGTCCATCTCCTTGGCTTTTGAGGATCCATGACATCATTACAGGTGGCATGCATACATACATTTTAGGTGGCATGCATTAATTCTTTCCCAAAAAGAGCCCACCTCAAACCGTTATTCTGTGATTGCATCTGGCGATGCCATTGTCTCCAACAGGCCCATGGCTCCTCCTCATAGTTCCTCAATCCATACCTTTAAAAGAGCAGTTATCTCTCTGAATTCTCACACTGTAGAATGACACAGAAGCAAAAGGATACATGTATTTATGGGAAAATGACCATTTAGGAAATGAGAAAATTAGAAGCAAGCCTATTACTGAACTCAAATACATATCAAATCAGGTTAAGCAGAATTAGAATTCTTGTGTTGTCAGTGCAATAAGTTCCTTGGTTATCCAATCACATGACCCCTGGTTCTGTCATCCAGAGGGATCTTACTTGCTCCTTACTCTGTATGGCCTCACCGAGGCCTCACTGGAGAACTGCACAGCTTTGGAGGCTTTTCCTGGATATATATTTACAGACACTAGAATGGCTCTACATAGTAAACAGTCACCAATTATTGCCAGCCAATCGTTGAGTAATCTCATGCTTATTAAGTTTCTTTCTTATTTGCATTCCATCAATTCCAAATATGAGTAAACCCAACACATCTTATTCTGGAGGAAATGTCTGCAGAAAAGAAGTCACTCCCTCTCAGGGCCTTTAAATAAGACTTCATCAGGTCTGCTACCAGACTGCCATCGCAGTTCCCAAAGATGATTCACTTCCAGTGGGATTTGTAGAGTAAATCTCAGTTAAGCAATCACAAAAGAGACTAAGCATCCCAGAGGATGTCAAATACCTTGACAGGTGTAATATAAAATATTATGTCTACCATGGCA